GCTGTCTACAAGAGACCCACTTCAGACCTAGGGACACATACAGACTGAAAGTGAAGGGATGGAAAAAGATATTCCGTGCAAATAGAAATCAAAAGAAAGCTGGAATAGCAATACTCGTATCAGATAAAATAGACTTTAAAATAAAGAATGTTAAAAGAGACAAGGAAGGACAGTACATAATAATCAAGGGATCAGTCCAAGAAGAAGATATAACAATTATAAATATATATGCACCCAACGTAGGAGCACCCAAATACATAAGGTAAATGCTAAGAGCTATAAAGAAAATCAACAGTAACACAATAATAGTGGAGGACTTTAACACCTAACTTACACCAATGGACAGATCATCCAGATAGAAAATTAATAAGGAAACACAAGCTTTAAATGACACAATACACCAGATAGATTTAATTGATATTTATAGGACATTCCATCCAAAAATAGCAGATTACACTTTCTTCTCAAATGCACATGGAACATTCTCCAGTATAGATCACATCTTGGGTCACAAATGAATCCTCGGTAAATTTAAGAAAATTGAAATCATATCAAGCATCTTTTCCAACCACAATGCTATGAGATGAAAAATGAATTACAGGGGAAAAAACGTAAAAAACACAAACACATGGAGGCTAAACAATACATTACTAAATAACCAACACATCACTGAAGAAATCAAAGAGGAAATCACAAAATACCTAGAGATAAATGACAACAAAAACATGATGATCCAAAACATATGGGATGCAGCCAAAGCAGTTCTAAGAGGGAAGTTTATGGAAATACAATCCTATCTCAAGAAACCAGAAAAATCTGAAACAAACAATCTAATCTTACACCTAAATGAACTAGAGAAAGAAGAACAAACAAAACCCAAAGTTAGTAGAAGAAAGAAATCATAAAAATAAGAGCAGAAATAACTGAAATAGAAACGAAGAAAACAACAGCAAAAAAATCAATGAAACTTAAAGCTGGTTCTTTGAGAAGATAAACAAAATTGATAAACCTTTAGCCAGACTCATCAAGAAAAAGAGGGAGAGGACTCAAATCAATAAAATTAGAAGTGAAAAAGGAGAAGTTACAATGGACAACACAGAAATACAAAGCATCATAAGAGACTACTGCAAGCAACTCTATGTCAATAAAATGGACAACCTGGAAGAAATGGACAAATTCTTAGAAAGATACAAACTTCTGAGACTGAACCAGGAAGAAGTAGAAAATATGAACAGACCAATCACAAGTAATGAGATTGAAACTGTAATTAAAAATCTTCCAAAAAACAAAAGTCCAGGACCAGATGGCTTCACAGGTGAATTCCATCAAACATTTAGAGAAGAGCCAAAACCCATCCTTCTCAAACTCTTCCAAAAAATTTCAGAGGAAGAAACACTCCCAAACTCAATGTATGAGGCCACAATCACCATGATACCAAAACCAGACAGAGATAGTACAAAAAATGAAAATTACAGACCAATATCACTGATGAATATAGATGCAAAAATCCTCAACAAAATACTAGCAAACAGAATCCAACAGCACATTAAAATGATCATACACCATGATCAAGTAGAATTTATCCCAGTGATGCAAGGATTCTTTAATATATGCAAATCAATCAATGTGATACATTATGTTAACAAATTGAAGAATAAAAACCATATGATCATCTCAATAGATGCAGAAAAAGCTTTTGACAAAATTTAACACCATTTATGATAAAAACTCTACAGAAAGTGGGCATAGAGGGAACCTACCTCAACATAATAAAGGCCATGTACAACAAACCCACAGCAAACATCATTCTCAATGATGAAAAACTGAAAGCATTTCCACTAAGATCAGGAACAAGACAAGGATTTCCACTCTCACCACTATTATTCAACATAGTTTTGGGAGTCCTAGCCACAGCAATCAGAGAAGAAAAAGAAATAAAAGTAATACAAATTGGAAAAGAGGTAAAACTGTCACTGTTTGCAGATGACAAGGTACTATGCATAGGGAATCCTAAAGATGCCATCAGAAAACTACTAGAGCTAATCAATGAAGTTGGTAAAGTTGCAGGATACAAAATTAATACACAGAAATCTCTTGCATTCCTATTCAATAACAACAAAAGATCAGAAAGAGAAATTAAGGAAACAATCCCATTCACCATTTCAACAAAAAGAATAAAATACCTAGGGATAAACCTACCTAAGGAGATAAAAGACTTGTACTCAGATTACTAAAGACAATGATGAAAGAAATCAAAGATGACACAAACAGATGAAGAGATATACCATATTCTTGGATTGGAAGAATCAGTATTGTCAAAGTGACTATACTATGCAAAGCAATCTACAGATTCAATGCAATTCCTACCAAATTACCTGTGGCATTTTTCACAGAACTAGAACAAAAAACTTATGGACACCAAGCAGGGAAAGTGGTGGTGGGTGGTCGTGGTTGTGGAATGAATTGAGAGATTGGGATTGACATGTATACACTAATACGTATAAAAGAGATAACTAATAAGAACCTGCTGTATTAAAAAATAAATAATAAAATTCAAACAAAAAAAAGAAATTACTGCTGGGATTATTGCAAACCAAAGTCTGGATGCAAAAACAATTTACAGTTGAACACCATGTGATAAGACAAAAAACATGTCTACTGAACAAAATTAATGAAACAATGGGCAAATGTCTGAATAAATAGTATTTTGAGATTAAATTTTAGGAGGCAGAATAAAATGGTTCCTGGGAATATTTTCATTTATGTGGACCTTCTCAGGAAAGGAAAGTATTACCCATTAACTCTTTCCTCCTGGTATTTACATCTCCCCTCTCTATCAGCAAGGTGAATGCTCCAAAGTCGCAGTGCTCTGATTCTTTATTGTTTTTTTTGAATTTTATTTTATTTATTTTTTTATACAGCAGGTTCTTACTAGTTATCCATTTTATACATATTAGTATATATATGTCAATCCCAATCTCCCAATTCATCACACCACCACCACCCCCAAGCCACTTTCCCCCCTTGGTGTCCATACGTTTGTTCTCTACATCTGTGTCTCTATTTCTGCCCTGAAAACCGATTCATCTGTACCATTTTTCTAGGTTCCACATATGTGCGTTAATATATGATATTTGTTTTTCTCTTTCTGACTTACTTCACTCTGTATGACAGTCTCTAGATCCATCCACGTCTCTACAAATGACCCAATTTTGTTCCTTTTTATGGCAGAGTAATATTCCATTGTATATATGTACCATATCTTCTTTATGCATTCGTCTGTCAGTGGTCATTTAGGTTGCTTCCATGTCCTGGCTATTGTAAATAGTGCTGCAATGAACATTGGGGTGCATGTGTCTTTTTGAATTATGGTTTTCTCTGGGTATATGCCCAGTAGTGGGATTGCTGGGTCATATGGTAATTCTATTTTTAGTTTTTTTAAGGAACCTCTATCCTGTCCTCCAGAATGGCTGTATCAATTTACATTCTCACCAATGGTGTAGGAGGGTTCCCTTTTCTCCACACCCTCTCCAGCATTTGTTGCTTGTAGATTTTCTGATGATGCTCATTCTAACTGGTGTGAGGTGATACCTCATTGTAGTTTTGATTTGCATTTCTCCAATAATTAGTGATGTTGAGCAGCTTTTCATGTGCTTCTTGGCCATCTGTATGTCTTCTTTGGAGAAATGTCTATTTAGGTCTCCTGCTCATTTTTTTTATGGGTTGTTTGTTTTTTTAATATTGACCTGCATGAGCTGTTCATATATTTTGGAGATTACTCCTTTGTCCATTGATTCATTTGCAAATATTTTCTCCCATTCTGAGGGTTGTCTTTTCATCTTGTTTGTAGTTTCCTTTGCTTTGCAAAAGCTTTTAAGTTTCATTAGGTACCATTTGTTTATTATTTTTTTTTAAATTTCCATTACTCTAGGAGGTGGATCAAAAAAGATCTTGCTGTGATTTTTGTCAAAGAGTGTTCTTCCTATCAGTGCTCTAATTCTTATCAGGGAGGAAAAGACCAGCGGCACACTGACTGTCACAAAGAGAATGTGGTTATGACATACCACAAGTTCTTCATAGTTCTGCCCTCCTCAACTTCTTCCCCATTCTCCATCTTGTCCCATAGATGATTATCATCTGCAGATATGCATGCACAGGTGGCTTCATTGCAATAGGAAGGAGGAGACCATCACTTTCTGAATAAGCAACTCCTGCAAAAACTGCAAGGCAGAAGGGACAGTATTTTGAAGTCAGATATCCAAGTTTTACATGGAGTTATATTTGATTACATATCCCAAGTGCTACTTCATTCTCCTTAACAATGTCACATTAAATATTAATATTGAATAGCATATTAAATTCATAAAGTAAATTTTATCTTTTTTCATAATCTTTTCTCTTCAAGGGAATTTCATGACTGCCTAGACTCAGTTTGCAGTCCACTTACTTCTTGTTTTGGTATAGAGTAAATTCTTTAACATCTCTGCACCTCAGTTTTTGTATCTGTCGTGTAGTTATAATAGTACTTTCTAATGTGTCACTATGAAGATTAAATGAAATGCTATACATGGAACTCTTAATATAATACCTAACATAAGGTAACTATTCAATAATTAGATATCATTATTGGTACCCTAAATGCTAGCTTCCAAAATTCGATGCCCTTCTTTCTGAGAAGCCATCAGTAAATTATTTTTACTCCACATCTTAATAGGGAGCAAATAGAGTTAAGGATTGCCCTGTGTACTAATGGTTCTTTTGAAATGAAAGAGCTGCACTGGACTCTCCCTGTTTGTATCTCTGTCCATCAAATGGAGGTAATATTTGCTCAAGGTTGTTCCTCTCCCTGAGGGCAATTTTGGAGAAAATAATGTTGGTGTCTTTATACTCACCAGGCCACATTTTGCTAGTGAATAGGGTCACCATACTTTATACAAACAAACAAACAAACCAAAAAACTGAACCTGGATCCACATGTTCTTTCTAATTTTGTTTCTCAGCAGTGGCTTCAAGAAACTTCCTGTTTCTCTACACAAGACACACCTGAGAAGATCTTATGTGAGGTGAGGATCACTTTTCCTCTGCTCCAGTTTCTTCATCTGGATCTCTTGGACCAAGTATCTTTGATTGGAGGCAAATAGTGAGTATAAGGACCCACAGTGACCTCAAGTCTAAGATTACAGGTTACTAGAATATAAGCCCTGTGTTTTGACATTGGTAGGTGCTTTCTCATCTAGTAGAAAAGGTACTGTCAGTCAAAAACCTGGGCTGGGAAATAAGGGGTGAATTATATCTAAAAAGTGTTGTGACATGAAGATTAGAAAGAGGTGCTTAATTTGGCTGTTGTGCAAAAATATTCTGTACTACTGCTGGTGACTCACAAATAGAGCCGAACTTGGTAGACTTTTACATATGTGTCTCAGTATTTCAATAGGATATTAACTGATTCTCACAAACCTCTTGTGAACCCTCATTTATTTTAAAACTCGTTTGTACTTACAAAACATCCATCTGTTCTTAATTGCTATTTCAATATTCTTGCCACATTTTTTCATATAGATTTTTTTCCCCTCATTTACCATTTGCTATTTGGAGGAAGGCATTATGATGAGAAAGAATATACTAAAAGGATGAGAAAATGGCACATTTCCTAGCATCAACTTGCTAGGCATTTAAGGGAATTTGAGAAAGATACTTGTCCTTTAAAAAAATTAAGTTTTCCTGTATAATATATATTTAACTAGTAGAGCTATAGGAGAATTTCAGTTGCTTTCCTGCTTTATTTGTCTTTCAGGAGGCTCTTGCTTCTCTATGCCAGCCCAAATCACCCATAAATCATACACCTCCTGGTCTTGGATAGGAGCAATTGATCATGGGAGACATTGTAATATAATGGCTAAGAACTTTCAGTTCTTGATCTAGAAATTCCTGAGTTCAAATCCAGCTTCTGCCAGCTACTTTTTAATTAAGTGTCCTTGGGGAAATTATTTTGCCATAGCTTATTCTTCCTCCTCTGGAAAATAATCATAGATACTATTCCAACACACACACACACACACAAATTGCTATAAGAATTAATTGAGATGACTTATGTCAAAACCAGAATACTGGCAAAAATTGCCAGGAAAGTGCTCAAAAATGTTAACTTTTTAAATTATTATTGAAAAATCAACAGACCCAAGAAAGTCTGATTCTTTACTTCTGTCAATCGTTTTCTAAACTCCTGCATTTGTTACCTAGACTTTGATGCCTCTTTTTCTTTCTCTCCTTCTCTCTCTTTCTCGTGCACACATTCGCGCGCGTGCGCGCGCGCGCGCACACACACACACACACACACACACTTTGACTTTGTCTGCCTTTCAAGCTTGGAATCTCCTCTTACTTCATGTGATAACTCAATGTTCAATTACTAAGCAGCCCAAATTCTCTTTTAGGATAGCCATTTGCCAGAGTCTACTCAGATCATTAAAAATAGCAAAACAAACAAACAAAAAAATCCCAAACATCCAAATATTGCCTGTCTCCATTGACAAGACAAAGAAAATATAGACGTATACCTCTTATCCATACATCCACATCCTTTTGTTTTAATGGTTTGGATAATTAGCTGTCATCAAACTGAAGAAACCATAGTAGCCATCTCCTCGTTAAAATAACAGAATATAGTTAGAAATGAGAATTCTTCTTCCTTCACTCTCCTTCATCAATCATGGGGGTTTAAGATATGGGTACTCTTTTGAAATTTGAAGTTAAATTTGAGTAGAACAGAATCCTAAAATCTCTTCACTTTTAACACATGTCCAATTCCTTAGCCCATAAGTTACATACCATACTCCTTATGGTGCATTTTTACAGAGAAAAAGTAGAAGATAAATCATGACCAAAGATTTCTTTATTCTGATTTCCAAGATAATGCTTATATGGCACTGTAGATTTGAGGAAAGGCTACTAAATGAAGGGTCAGTGACTTAGATTTTATCCCCAGCCCAGATGCCAAATAACTACTGTTTCGGTTCTCACTTAGCATTTGCCTACCTCAATATCCTCCACTGTATGATAGGGTTGCATTAATTGAGGAATTTGTCTATCCATCTTGTCTATCCAATGAGCCATGATACTTGGTAAGAAATACTTATATATTTATGATTCATACTTGGTACCATTTATAAAATAATCTACAGCTAATGTCTTGATATCTGTCTGTCTGTCTTTCTGTCTATCTAGATAGGTAGATTTGGATATAGATAGATGATAGATAGATAGATAGGTTAGATAGATAGATAGATAGACAGACAGATATATTCCATCTGATTTGGCAAGTCTAAGTGGAAATAATGTGACAGTTAACTTCCTTTTAGGTTTTTGTACAAAACAGTGGTGGCACACGCAATCCCATATGTCTTATCACCACTGAGTAAATTTTCCTCAAAGAATTTTAAGCCTGTCTTTGATTTGTGGTCAGAATTTTAAAATATATATATATTTCCTTAATTTTCTTTTGAATCCATTTCCAGCTCCCTGTACAGAAGAAAAGAACAAAGAAATTAATTTTAAAAGTCCTCATCAAAATTCTAGTAACTACAGTCTCGCACAGCAGGAGATATTTTAATTCACATTATGGTTATTATTTATTGATCTTTCATTATTAATTAACATTTCTCAATAGATTAAAATAATGAACTTTCTATAAAACATCAAAGAATGACTAAATAATATAATGATATGTGTATATTAAATAATTCTGCAGGCACTAAACCATGGACATTTATTTTCAGAATACCTAGAATAGCTTTTCAAATGATCCTAAGCTCTCCTGCATATAGATAAAAGGAACTTTCATTTAAAAAAATAATATATTGTTCCTTTTTTTATTAGAGTGCAAATGGAAAAAAAAACACAAAGTCAAACAAATAAAACCTCTTTCTGGGCTTTGTTTAAGGCTGAAACGTTGGAAATAACATTTATTCTGATCATTGCATAGAATAGGGAAAGGTAGGGGCTTCAAAAGTTTTAGATGGGTTTAGTGATCAGAGGGATAGATGTACGTCCTGCATTTATATAACCCAAAATGTATAAACCACCCATAAAAATATACCCATCATTCATTGAAATTGAAAGCGCCTATACATAAAATGGTTGCCTAAAGGGAAAACAGCCACCAAAGGATGGGGAAGGGGGCAGGGGGGAAGGGAATGAAAAAGGGAAAAAGAAAGAACAACTAACACTATTATTACTCAAACCATGTAGGACTTGGAAGGAGCAAAAGAAGCAGCTAAATCAAACACTTAGCTGGAAAGGAGAAACAGAAAGCAAACAGAAAAGAATCCAATTACTTTATGTTTGTTTTTGTAAATGGTTTTTCTGTAAGAGGAAAAAGAAAACTATTTTGACTTGTTTTCCTCTGTACTGTACTGCTGAGAGCAGCCGGTACCTTATGAGTAAGTCCAAGTGACTGCTGATACTTCTGTTAATGCTAATTAACCTCCTGCTACAAATATCAACAAACCCACATCTGAGCTTTGTCTGCACGTCATTCTACTCTCCTCGTTTTAATTTGAATTGCCATAGTCACCATTAGTTGCTACTTATTAGGTGGAATCAGATCAGCAGTTGAGAAAAAAGATGATAGCCAGGGTCACACTGTCTGTTATTTTCCAGACAGAAAAGAAACAAAGGCTTACACTGGCTTCAAGAAGTCAAAACATAGTTTCTATAAGGAAAGACAAATGGGAAATTCATGTTTGGGGTGTGGGGGCTGAGATTTTTCCTGAGAATACTTGGATTTAATGGTTAGACTCCTATCTGAAAACAGCAATGTCGGTGACATTAGAAATTCACACATCTGGGTTATTTCAAATGCAATGCATGTACTTTTGAGAAGTATGGTGAGGGCTCTCTCAAATTCCAGTAATTTTGCATAAATTCTTTTGAATTCTTTGCTCAATTCAGATAAATCTGATTGTGCAGGCTAAAGGGAAAAGAAGTCTTCAGTTTTTCCTTCCCTTAACTGCTCTCCAAGGTTGGAGCAAAGTCAGCACTGAGTCCTCCACTACAACAGTCGCTTAAAGCCATACATGGGGGGAAATGATCCTGACATTTAAATGCTGCTACCTGGCCTGGGTTTCCTCTCAATGCTTCCCCTGCTGTGCCCCTTCTATTCCTTTTAAATTTTCAGTCTTCTCAGGACAGATAGATTTCAGCCAAGAAGCCAAGGAAAACCATCCCATCCCATCTAGGAACAGGCTTTCCAGCGGAGAGCTTTCTTCACAGCTCTTTATCTGAATACATATTTGTCTACCCTAAATGTCTAATAACATTTTGCATCAGTACCCTGCCTGTGATGTCCTTTCAGTTGGTTGAGATATACTTGTAGAACTTGAAGCCTCGTTCCAGGATAACTGTGACATATACCGTGTTATTCTCTGGCAAATTCTCAATAGACATTCCAGTGTTCCCCCTTTCTATAAACCTTCCAGATGATCTAATTCCTGATCATATGCATGTGCTGTTAGCATTCACAACATAATATTTTAGTGTGGTTGACGGTAATTAAGAAATTCTTGGTTAAATTGTATTGCTTAAGGCACACAATATAGATGGCATTACTCCCATGAAAAGCTTGCCTTGCTCTCTGAGTGACAGCTCACTACAGCTGATATGACCTAGAAGTACAGCAGCATTAATGGCATTGGTTTCCCAAGGTAAAAGGTGTTTTTTTCCATTAAATCATCTAATATTTCTGTGACTTTGGAAATCTTAGAGTCCAGTTTCATTATCTGAAAAATGGGCATGGTAGTGTCTGCTCTGCCCAGCATGTGGGCTGGATATGAGAACTCAGTACTGTGAAGTACATAAAGTAACTTGATAAATTCTAAAGATCACAAAAGGTACTCAGATCACTGTTATTTGTAATCCTGTAAAGGAATCACAGACTCAGTCCAGAGTGGATCAAGCACCTTTGGAGTAGAGTAGAAAAAAAGTAGAAACTTCTTTCCACCAGTCTTTGTCAAAGCTCTACCTGCTCGATCTATCTTTAATGTACTCTTTTGAAAAGTTTTCTGAATCTTTAAAATGGATCCATGGTCTTCCTGCACTGAACGCCCAGTGGGTAGTCTCCCTCTTTGTTACGGCCTTTCTTATCAGCACCCTTCTCCTACCCATCTGATTAGATGTAAAACTTTTGAGGGCAGATACTCCCTCTTTCCAATTCCTGTATCTCCACATCTAGAACCATGCAGGGCACATAATGACACTCATTGAAACTTTGTTTATCTAAAGTGTACTGATTCAAGGGAAGTCTAATAAAACATTATTATTAGACAGGTATCATTTCATTTTATTTATTTTTTCATTGGGGTATAGTTGCTTTACAATGTGTGTTATTTTCTGCTGTACAACGAAGTGAATCAGCCATATGTATACCTATATCCCCTCCCTCTTGGACCTCCCTCCCCACCTACCACATCCCACCCATCTAGGTCACTACAGAGCACCGAGCTGAGCTCCCTGCGCTATACAGCAGGTTCCCACTAGCTATCTGTTTTACACATGGTAGTATATATATGTCAAACCTAATCTCCCAATTCATCCCACTCCCCTCTCCTCACTGTGTCCACATGTCCATTCTATACATCTGCATCTCTATTCCTGCAATGCAAATAGGTTCATCTGTACAATTTTTCTAGATTCCACATATATGTGTTAATATACAATATTTGTTTTCCTCTCTCTGACTTACTTCACTCCGTATGACAGACTAGCTCCATCCACGTCTCCACAAATGACCCAATTTCGTTCCTTTTTATGGCGGAGTAATATTCCATTGTATATATGTACCACATCTTCTTTATCTATTCATCTGTTGATTGACATTTAGGTTGCTTGCATGCCCTGACTATTATAAATAGTGCTGCAATGAACATTGGGGTGCATGTGTCTTTTTGAATTATGGTTTTCTCAGGATATATGTCCAGTAGTGAGATTGCTGGGTGATATGATACTCCTAGTTTTAGCTTTTTACGGAACCTCCATACTGTTCTCCGTAGTGGCTACATCAATTTACATTCCCACCAACAGTG